TGAAAACGCTCCCACCATGGCCTGGTTGACCATCTCGAGGTAGGTCCAAGTGGCGACGATGGGCAGCAGCCGGACGTCGCGGGCCAGCATCCGCACACATGTCAGGAATATCGACCGCCCCTGCTGCATCTGGCCCTGCTCGTAGAGGAGGTGCGCGTACGCCGCCCAGATAAGCGGCTCGCTCTCCCACACCCGCAGCACACGACGACACACCCTGCACCCACCCCATCCCATCCATGTGTGTGCGCGATAAAGAGACTCTCTCTCCCTCCTTCTCTCTGTCTGTGTCTCTGTCTGTCTGTGTGGAGTGGAACGGGTCTGTCTCACTTGTCTGTGCGTGCGGTGCACATGACGAGGAAGGCCAGCAGCGGTTCAGAGGGAAGGCGCAACGACGCCTGACGGCACACACACAGACAGACCCGCAACTCACATGGGAGATGTGTCGCACAGGCGGATAGGTCGTTACCCGATCCGTGTGTTTGTCTGCCTACCTACCTGTGCCGCGCACCGTGCCAGCATGGGCGCCCACCTCTTGGCTGCCTCGCGCACACGGCAGTCGCCGTCAAGGGCGTCAAATACACAGAGGCCTCCTGGGCAAACCACATGTGTGTGTGCATGTTTACCAAGTCAAACAAGTTGGTCAAGTTAGTTCCTACCTGTGCCGGCCGCTCCAGCTGTCCCCAGCACACACACGGCACTCTCACCAACGCCCTTCACACACACACACACACGTAAACATGTGTGTGTAAGTTTGCCAGTGCTTGGTTGCCTCTGCTGCTGCTGATACTGCGCTGGTTGTGGTGGTGGGTGTGTCACTGAGGTCGAGGCTGTTGACGGTTTGGTTCCACTTTGCCATGCGGAGATCGAACGAAGACATGGCTGACGGCAATAAGTGCCGCACCAGCAGCACATGCGGGTGGTTGCTGCTGTAGCTGCAGCAATCAGCCAAATCAGGGAGAGACACAGAGAGAGAAGAAATGGATGGATGGATGGCTGGCTTGTGTGCGTGGAGAGATACTACTGGCTCGCTCACCTGAACAGTGTTGGCGCGCCGAAGAGGCTCATCCAGTGCAGCACAAAGGACAGCAGCGCCTTGCTTTTGGCAGCACCTGCTCATCAACAAATACACCCACATATGGGTGAGTGACGTGTGCACCCACCCCACCGCACACACCTTTCATGGCCGGGAGGTCAAGCATGAGCGGCGCCAGTGCGGCGAACGCCGCTGCCCCGTCATCATCGGCCTGTACCATATAGACGTCTATGTGGGTGCGTGTGTGGGTACGTGTGTGAGTCTGACCGTGCCGTCGCCTCGGGTGTAACCGCAGCAGTGCTCGTCGTCGGCCTGCTGCTCTCTCTCCGCAAAGGCAGCCATGCCCACACCGCTAGCGACCGCTCCCGCTGATGCTGCCACACTCGTGGGGGCGTCTGTGGACATTTGCAAGAGGGAGGCTGTCTGTCTGTCTGTTTGTCTGTGTCTTCGTCCTGCTCACCGAGTTTTGTGTCGTCGACGGCCTCGCAAATCTTCAGCATCCCCTCGGTCGCAGCTCCGCCGCTGCACGGCACGCATTAATTGCATTCTGTGTGTGTGTGTGTGTTTGTGAAGGTACCCACCGACCTCTGTTTGGCGCTGCTGGTGGACTGTGCGAGTAGTGTGTGCAGGTGGGGCGCGGCGAGACTGTCACCGAAGCGGCCACGGCCGCTGGCCCAGGACGCCTGCAGCTGCTGCATGTCATCGACAAAGAGGCTCTTCATGCACAGAACCTGACGAGACAGACAGACAGACAGCCCACCGTTACACACGTGCACCTCTCTGTCTGTCTGTCTGTCTGTCGCCCACTGACGGACCTGCACGAGAGCGACTGCCCTTCGGTGGTGCCCGGCGTGCAGCTCCAGCAAGATGAGCACCTGCCCACAGAAACAGACACACCCGACAGACAAACACACGAATGACTGACTGACTGAGTGAGTGAATGAGTGTCTGCAGAGAGACACAGCTAGAGTGACAGACAGACTGACCGTCAGCACGGCCATCTTGCACTCGGCGTAGACGTAGCTCTGGTCGTCCTCAGGTCTCACCCTGACGCCCGTGCTGATGGCCAAGTACGACTCGTGCACCTCATGCACATACTTGGCGTGAAGCGCAGACACACACGACAGCAAAGACGACGCGAGACCACTGCACACACACACACACACAAGATGAATTACCACACACACACACAGACACACACACAGACAGACACACACGCAGGCACCGGATGGCGGCCGTCGAGTAGAGCTGGAAGTTGCGGGCGACGAAGAGGACGTACTCGCGGAACAGCAGGGGGCTCAGACACTGTTGCGTACACGCATCAAGAGACACACACATAGAGAGAGAGAGGGGGGGGGGATGTGCTGTGCTGTGCTGTGGCTGCCTGACTTCTTTGGCAGCCTCTTCCCACACGGAAAGCATATCTGAGGCGTCACGGAGCCGGCTCCGCACTTGCAGCAGCTCCTGCACACACGCATGGCACATAGACAGACACATACACACACATCGCAGACATGCACGACGGCTCACCAGAGTGAGCTGCGGGTTGTTCTTGTTGAAGGTGAGGGCCCTCTCCAGGATGCTCTCCTGTCGCTCCCACACCTGCACACACACACACACACATGTGTCAATGCATCAACACGAGTGTGGGTGGGTGTCTTGTGGGGTGGGGTGCCTGTGAGTCGAGTGCGCGTGAGGTCTCCCGCAGGTACTGGGGCTGGAAACGTGAAAACCGCAGCCAACCTGCCACACTGGCCAGCCACAGGTATGATGCGCCTGTGAGTGCTCCTTGCTTTCTCCTTCTCTCACTCGTTTGTGTGGTCTCTGCACCGCCTGTGCATGGCCTCGTTGGCCGCGGCGATGCCGCTCGTCACAAAGGGGCCCTCCTCCTCGCTGTCGCTGTCACCTTCAGCATCACCCTCCCTCCCGACCGGGGGTGACATTTTCTCTGGCGCCAGAGTGATGAACGACATGTCGTCACTCGTCTGTCGTCGTTGTGGATGTGGCTGCTGCTGTGGCTGTGGCTGTGGCTGTGGGGTGGGCGCCGCTGACGGCTGCATGTACCCAACAGGCACACGTACCCATTTGGGTGAAACTTATCTCTCTCTGTGGAGTGACTGCACCTGCTGGTGGTGGTGGTCTGGTTTTTTCTTGGCAGGCCTTCTGTCCTCGATGCCTTTCTTCTCCTTCCTGACCTCTCGCCGCATGTGGACAAAGTACCGATCTGAGCTCCCGAGACGGTCGTCTGACACACAGACATGGCCACGCACACATACACACAGGCACACATCCACACACACATCCATCCATCCATCCACCGATCTGTCGCTGTCTGTGTGGGAGAGTGTGTTTCTTGTGTCACCAACCACACACCCCCATCTCATCTCATCTCATCTGCCCACCCGATGTGCGTGTGGCGCCTGGGATGAAGTCCCTCTCCTCCAGCAGCCGAGGGTGGGCAGACAGGCCCTTCGACGACCTGATGTCATGTCATATCGACGATCGGCGATCGATGTGCGTGTGCGTGTGTTCTGTGTTCTGTGCATGGCATGCCCATCACATACGTTGGCTTGGCTCTCTTCTTGAGCGCTGGCGCCGGCCGGCTGGACAGGTCAGCTCGCATACTGCCACCCCTGCACAGACCGAGACCGTCACCCACACACACATGCACACGGACAGACATAACACACGCACCCGCACCCAGCCCCATGTCGCCCGCGCACCGTTCTTTGTCCTCGGCAGCCATGCCCATGATCTTGCCCCGACGGCCGTCCAGCGCCCCCCCAGCAGGCAGTCCCCTGTCGGATCCTCTGATGGCGACAAGAGAAACAGAGAGAGAGGGGAGAGAGAGAGAGGCCTCTGTCGGTCTGTGTGTCTGTAGGAGTGCGTGCGCGTGTTGTGGTTTGGGTCAGTCAGTCGCCACGTGGCCCACCGACCCACTCACCGAGTGTCGCAGTAGCACAGGACGCTCAGATCGTCGTCGAAGCACATGGCGCCATTTACCGCCTCGCCCTCGTCCCCATCATCGTCACGTCGTCTCTCCTCTCGTTCCTCCCGTCTTCGCCTCTTCTCCCGCCGCCCACGCGCACTCGCACCATCCTCATCGCTCGACGACGAACTCGCGATCTCTATCACTCCTGCACGCAGCACGCACGCACGCACGCACGCACGCAAGCACACATCGATCGATTGCTTGCAACCTCGCGAGCCTCAGTCAGCTTCCCTCTCTCACCTTGGTCGTCCCCCCTGTCCTTGAGCCGCCTTTTTTTCCTCTCCTGCTTCTCTCTCTTGCGCCGCTTCTTGTCCTTCCTGCGCCGCTTCCGGCGATCCTTCTCGTCGTCCACATACCGGTCATCATACTCACCACCGTCACCCCGCCCCACCATCGGACGCGACGACAGAAGAATGGCCGAAGGCGGCTGGGAGGAGGCCTGCAGCCGCCAAGACAGACATTGGGCGTGGTATGTTGTGTGTGTGTGTGTGTGTGTGAGCGACCGACCTCTGTGTCACACGGCTGTCGGTGAGCGTCTTCGTGCCGGTCCTGGTGCCTCCGGTGTCCCCTGCTCACGGTAGGGAAGCTCTGGCCGACACGCAGCCACTCCATCCTCTCATCGCAGCCGCCATCTGCCGCTTCTGATGGACCTGCATGCCACACGCAGCATGGCCTATGATGAATTCATAAGCGCAGTAAGTGCATGACGATCGATCACCTGCGGCTCCGTCGGCTTCTGGTGCTGCTGCCGCTGCCGCTGCTGGTGGTGCGGCGTCGCCAGTCTGGATGGCTCCTTGTGGGGCGTAGGCGGCAAACAGCGGTGGCGGAGGTGCTTCACCAACATCTTGATCTCTTGTCGAAGTCATGATCTCAATGATCCATCCGGTTGCTCCGGGTCAAGCAAGGGTTCCGGCGGGTAGGGTTTCAAACCCTAGACCCCAGCTTCTGCGAGCTTAGCCCCAACGGGAGAAGGAGGGCCTGGCAACAAGCAAATCCGCTTTAAGGCTCCAGGAGGGCCTGTCCATGTATATCAGCCGCTAGATCAGCAGAGAGGATGGTAGATCTGCTGATGACTGTCTGCCTGGCTCTTGCCGCTTACCTCTGCGCCTGGCCGATGAGGAGTGCAGGTGCGTGTGTGTGAGGGATGCAGGCAGATCTGTCGGCACATCATGACGCGTATAGTGCTCATTCATTGCAAGCAGTGCGTGTGCGTGTGCAGACGCGAGATCTCTGACAGAGAGAAGGCGGCAGAAGGGGTCAGCGTTCATCCTGCAGCAGCTGCAGCTGCCGGGAGGAATCACGCCGCGCACACGCGCACACAGAAGGGTAGGTACCCACACGCAGGTAGCTGGCGGATGCAGTCACTCATTGGTGTGCGTGTGTGACTGTCCTGTTCTCCTCTGTTCTGCAGGTGCGTGTGGCACCCGCTGTGTATGCGTCCAAAGCAAAGGGGTTCGCTGTCGACTCAGAGAGGGACCAGAGGAGGTAGATAGACGTGCTACAGACATACACACGGCACAAGAAGTGTCTGTCTGTCGTATCCCATGTGTCTGTCTGTCTGTCTGTCTGTTTGTCTGTTTTTTGCAGGGGTGGTGGGGAGGGTCCGTCATCGGTCAAGAAGGTGGCCCGCTCACTGCCGCCACCCACACCCAAGGTTAATTCGTGCTGTCAACGAAAGGAGTGATTGACACACACGCACGATCGATGCATCTCTCTCTCTCTGTTTGTCTGTCTGTCTGTCTGTCTGTGTCTGACCCACTGACCAAACAAACCAACGAGCAGGGAAGGGCAATAAAGCGTCGCCGGTCTGAGATACAGCGGGATCGGGAGGGCAAGGCCGCCACAGACAGGTCAGTCGGTGAGGGACGGAGGGAGGGACTGACTAGTGGGATGGGCAGACACACAGACAACGTGTATGTCCGTGTGCATGTCAGTGGGGAAGGGAACGACACGGTGGCCTATGAAGACCTGCCAGAGGAGGAGCAGATCAAGAGGAAGAAACGTGCCAAGCAGGTAACTAAGTAAGGGCTGTCTGTCTGCTCTCTGTCTGCCTGCCTGTCGATATCACGTGTCTGTCTGCTGTGTTGTGTGCCCACCATTGTGTCATTGTGTTTCATGGCATCAAGGCGTACATCGAGGGGGCTTACATGGAGAAGAAGCAGAGAGAGGTGCGCGCGCTGGAAACACACAAAGACACGCACACTCGCGCACACAGGGGGGTGACTGACATATTGGACGTATGCGGATGTGTGTGTGGACTGCATGGCAGGATGCCGATGCGTTCCAGCACCGACTGAAGCAGAGGGCTCAGCAGGAGGACATACAGCTCATCACCAAGGGCAAAGAGGCAAGCCGTATCCAGCCAGCCAGACAGCCAGACAGCCATGTACGCCCCACGCGACCGACCGATCTGTGTTGGTTTGTGTTGTGTGGGGGTGTGTCTGTGTCTGTGTCCTTGCTGTGTGTGTGTGTGTGCAGGTGAATGTGAGTCTGGAGCCAGAGGTGAATTCAACCGTCACCGTCAATGTGCAAGTCGACGGCAACTTCACGCAGCAGGTGTCCTGACACTCACACACACACACACACACACACACAGAGAGAGAGAGAGAGACGCATCAATGCCATGCACCCATACATCTCTCGTGTGTGTGCGTGTGTGTGTAGATGTGGGAGGTTGTGCTGGCCGACCTGAATGAAGAGGCCGCCATCAAGGGTTTCCAGAAGGGCAAGACGCCCACTGAGGTCGGTCAGCATTGTGAGCACTGGCGCGCAAGACTGGAGCCCCATGTGTGCGTGTCGCGTCGCGTGTGCAGGTGCTCGTCAACCGAATCGGGATCGAGCCCGTAAAGGTGCGCGTGTGTATGTGTGCAATGCATGTGAATGTGCATCTCCGTGTGTGTGTGTGTGTGTGTGTGCAGGCGCGCTGTGTCGAGTACACCGTCTACGCGCTCACTCCCAAAGTGCTCCGGAAACTCCCAATACAGGCACGCACGCACGCACGAGCACCACACACATACCGGTCCACCGCTATGCAGGCAGACAGGCAGACAGACAGACACTCACACATTGGAGTGCGTTCCCTCGTGTGTGTGTGTGTATACCTGCCTCTAGAGCATCGGCACGGCGCGCACAGAGGGCTCCAGACGGACACTTGCGGGCTTCTTCAGGTCAGTCAGCGCATTTCCATCCATCCATCCAGCCATGCACGGATGCCCACACGTCCGTCCGTCTGCAGGCCCGGGGAGCCGTTCCAGTTCCAAATCGAGACGGACGTGTGGCCGTCGATCGCATTCGCCAAACACCCACACACTGGGGAAGACATGTACAGGCAGCTAGAGGTGGGTACCTGCCTGCAGCATGGCATGACGCCTGTCTGCACACCACACACACCCATCACTCACAGTGCCCGCCCATGTGTGTGTCTGTGTGAGTAGGTGACGGCTGTGAAGCCCGACTTCGACTTTCGCATGCACAGATACCGATATGAGCTGAGGCACAACCACGCCAAAGTGAGCATCATGATGCACACACCAATGGCGCCGCATGTGTGTGTGTGTGTGAATGGCAGCTGGTGCCGACTCCAGACGATCGAGCGCTCTGGGGTGACGCTTTGGTGGCCGAGAGAGTCGAGACCTTCCTAGTGGGCGAGAACGGCACAGTGGGGCAGCAGGTGCGTCCGCATGGCATGCTATGGGTCTAGTCTATGCATGACACACCACACATGCACCGCACCCATCTAACCTATACACACGTGTGTGGGTGTGGTGTGTGTAGCTGACGGGTCCCGAGTTCACGCTGGCAGACGAGGTGCTCCACCTGGTGCCACACGTGCACCTGGACGGCCTCGTCGAGGGCTGCATAGGTCGGTCAGTCGGGGCGGACGAACGGACACACGCACACACTATGCACGCACACAAATGCGTGTTTGGCTCTGGCTCTGACTGGTGTGTAGGCATGCGCCAGGGCGAGAGCCGGCTGGTGAAGGTCAGCACGGCAGGCAGCTCTGGTGGTGCCGAGCAGGTAACTAAAGTACGGGTGTGCGCATTATACACGTGAATTGCATTGCAATCCTTGGTGGCTTGGCCGATTGTCAGGGTGCTGCTGATGCTGATGCTGATGCTGACCATGATGGAGATCAAGGGCTCGAGCAAGATGACGAGGGCGACGAAGACGCAGAGGTGCGGACGGGACGGCTTGCCATGTGTATACCTTTCTTGTGTTGTGTGGGTGCAGCTGTTCCTCAACGTCACCAACGTGCGCGTCATGGCCCGGTCAGTCAGTCTGCACACGTGCCACCAGTGAATTGAATGCAGCATAAGAAAGTGAGCAGCTGCATTAAGTCACTGTCTGCGTGTGTTCCTTCACAGAGAGGTCCCGGACCTTAGCGATGCACTCGCGAGGCAAGCAGGTGCGCGCCACCACACACACTCGACACACCTAGCGATGCATTCACCCCATCGCTGTGCGTGTGTGGATGAATGCAGCCAACATGACGCTCAAGGAGCTGCTGGGCCAGGTGGAGGACAAGCTGCTCAAGCAGTGCCAGGTGGGCGGCTGGGTGGTGGGTGAGTGAGGGACAGAGAGGGAGGGAGGGCAAACACACACATTAATACGAACGAACGAGCGCATCTCGGCTGTCGACGTGTCTGTCGTGGGCAGGATGACCGGGAGCGCAATCTTCGCGCCGGCGTCATCGCCGCACTGCTCGAGTGCACCAACCTCACCATCCCAGGTAAGGTACACACACTCAGATGCACTCACGTGTGGACAATGTCTGCCAATTCTGCGCACAGAGACGCTCATAGTGGAACACGGCAAGGGCAAGTACGAGATGCTGCTCAAGACGGAGGCCTCCAAAGGCCACGACGTCTCCAAACTCACCAACGCGGCCGCACTCAACGACTACCTTCGCCGGAAACAAGCCGCCATCACACAGTAAGTAGTCATTGAACACGGCGGCTCTGCTGGAGTACCCACCTGCACGTGTGTGTGTGTTGGCACAGGGAGCTGCAGGCGTCCTTTATCCTGGATGAGATCGCCGAGAGAGAGGGGCTGACTGTGGCGGTGAGTCGAACTAAGCACACGTGTCTGTCTGTGAATCTACCTGTGTGTGTATCTCTCTCTGTGTGTGTCTGTGTAGCCTGACGAGCTGCAGATCAACATCGACACGGTGCAGCAAGACATGAAGAAGCTCAAGCTTGTGGTCCGCCAGCCCCGCGCCCACACACCCCACGCACATATGTCATCTGTGTGTGCAGGAGTCTCGAGTGCAGTCGAAGCTCGAGGCAATGCTCATGGCGCAGCGGGTCATCGACTGGATCACAGAGAGGTCCGTGACACACACACACATACGAAGATAATGGTGGCATCCATCCATCCGTCCGTTTGTGCTCACTGCAGGTCGTCGATCACCTGGGTTGACGAGGCCGAACTGTATGGCGGCAATCTCGACGACAGGCTGGACACGCTCATGCGCCAGACGGACGCCACCACACCCACAACCGACACACACAGTGACAGCGCCCCGACTGCCAAGGTGCCTTCCTGACACACACACACGGTGTGCGCAGACAGCCACGTGAATGGGTGCATCTCTGAATGTGGGCAGATGTCGGCTGAGGATGTTCTGGCCCGGCGGGCGCTGAGGACCGTGAGCAGTGTCCGGTGATGTGGTCGATGATTGTGTGCGTTTTGTGCACGCGGATACCTGTCTGTCTCGTGTGTGGACTGTACATCTGAACGTCAGTTACGGGCCTTTTGGGTGTATGGGTATGGGTATGGGTGTGTGTGGAGGTGTTAAGACCTCATATGTATGCATCGACTTAACCGATTCATTGCAGGCCTGTCGTCTCGTCTGGCATGGTTGCTTCAGTACATACGCAGTATCCATCATACATACGTTGAGTGTTCCGTCCGCGTGTTCCCCTCCCCCTCCCCCTCCTCTCCTCTCCTCTCCTCTCCTCTCCTACAAAATGAAAACAAAATACGCCAAATGAAAAGAAAAGAGACCGAGGCCGTAATACGTCCATCCATCCATCCATCCATTGAGCACTATTTATCGAGTGAGACGGACGCAGCCAGCCAGGAAGCTCTCTCTCTCTCTCTTTCTCTGTCTGTCTCTGTCTGTCTCTGTCTGTCTCTGTCTGTCTCTGTCTGTTACGGTCTGTGTGTATCTGCGCATCTGCACACATACACGCAGACCGTAACAAGCAGCTAGCCTACACATTGAACTTCTTGTTCTTCTCGTTGAACTCCTTGATGTTCGCCAGGTACTCGTTGCGGCCGGCGAGCTTAGTCACCAGGGTTTCTCGTTCTGGGAATGCCGCCTCGGCGAAGCAGAAATCCTGGTACCGGTCGACACCCTCCTTGTTGGTGTAGGCGGCTTGCTTGCGTGTCTCGTTGGGATCGCCGCACTGTCCCTTCCGTCCGAAGGCGCCCCTCTCACTGTAGCAGTCACCTTGCCAGATGCCGTAGCCTCGGAAAATGTTTGTTGGCTTGAGGACCTTGTTGAGCGCGCAGACCTTGTCAATCTCGCCGCACTTGTAGGGTTCTCAATCAAAGACCGCCCTCCTGGTAACGGTCGAGCTGCTCCTGCAGCTGGACGAGGCTCAGGGACAGTCCGGCAGACGTCCCAGCTGCATTGCAACAGTGAAACAGCCCGAGAGTGATTGCATTGCATGCGCAGGCATCATTGACGGACTGTCACTTACTTTGCTCATGGGCGCACTTGGCGGCGACGAGGAGCTCTACGAGGATGGTCAGTGCGACCAGAAGGAACGACTTGTGCGCCGCCATCCTCTTGAAGACGCCGAAATTACGTCCGGCCCCCCCACATGCGTTAGGGTCACATTGCGTAAAACACTTTGTCCTGAGCCTTTTGGTGCAATATGCCTTTCTGTTCGCGCAGGGAGGATCTTCCCTCTCTTCCATCAGACTCTCCTTGCGGGGCATCGTCATCGAGCGCACCGCTGCCATCCTGGACCAGCAGCCGCATCTGGCTGAGCTCTTTCCACCTCCTCCTGCCCCTCCTTGTTTCCTTGCGCTTTGTGGAGCCATTTCTCCTGACACCCAGCCGGACACCGAGCCAGCAATGGGCCCGGGCAGGGAGGAGGACATCCGGCGGCTTGAGCATCACGGGGCTGCGTGGCTCTTTTCTTTCGAGTGAGGAAGACAGCGCCGTGTGTGTCTGTGAGCCGCTGGAGCAGATGACCCTCCAGCTTTTTGACTGGCGGTCGCCTCCAACCCCGTCGCCATCTGCCGTCCTGAGGTGGGTGGGTGGCTGATTTCACATATCATCATAATAGTCTCACCCTGCCGGTGATCTGATCTCTTTGCCTGTCTGTCTGTCTGTCTGTCTGTCAGGGTGCTGCCGATCTTGGCCCTGCGTGCTGTGCAGCTGCCGCACACAGAGGGACGCTTTCACCTGCACGAGGTGGGAGGCAATAAACTAAAAAAAAGAGCTCGCTCCCTTGTACGTCTCCTGTGTGTTGCTGACAAATGACAGCCTCGGTATCGCCGCTTGGTCAAAGATGTGACCGAGAAAGACTCGCTGTTCGGTCTGCTGCTCATCGACCCACACAGGCAAGTCAAGCACGTGACCTGATCTGAGAGAGCCGCTGCATCCGTCGTGTGTGCGCCCCTCTTGCGTCGCCTCTCCTGTTTTCAGGCGCCTTGCCGCAATCGGCAGCGTCCTTGAGATCATTGACGTTCAGAAATGGGCTGATGGGAGGTAAGCACCTTGTTTGGGATCCCTATGAGGCAAACAGTCACCCACATGTTGTGCTGCCTGCGCACAGATATGACGTGCAAGCACGGGGCAAGGAGCGGTTTCGGCTGATTCAAGTGCTTCAGGAGGAGAATGAGGACCTGGAGCGGTACTTGACGGGAGTCGTGGAGATCATAGAGGTCATCACACGCACTCCACGCACAACAGCACTCACCCTCATGCACACTCGTGTCTTCACTGCATCCAGGTTGACACAGACTTTGACGAGGACGACCGACGGTACGACAACAGCGGGCAGCCCGCCGACAATCGCGTCACCCTGGCATGGCTGAGGCGGGCGATATGGAATTCTTGTGAGGAAATCATAAGCCTTCACGGGATGCTCTACGGCGGCCGTCATACCCCCCTTCAACAGAGCTGGTCGCGGCTCCATCCGATGGACACGTCTTTTGTGTTTGGCGGTACGGACAATGGACAGACAGACCAACCGACCAACCGCTCGGGATCGCTTCTTCTTTCTTTTGGCGTCTCTTTGTTTGTCGACATATCTGCAGATATGCTAAATGTGCCCGTGTTCATCCGTCAGCTGATGCTGCAGACGACATCCACGCGTCAGCGGCTCGAGTACCTGCTCCGGATCCTGTCAGCGGACCGGCGGTTCCGCGACGCGCAGGTGTATCTGAAGACGGCATTCCTCAAGGCAGGCAAGCAGACGGAGGCCGACGAAGCTGGAGAGCAGCCGAAGCAGCAAGCAGCTCAGTGGCCTTTCGGCGAGTCTGCCGCGGTGACGTCAGTGGTCTTCCAAGACCAGCTCGAGATCGAGCCCATTTCAGGGACGGCAGCAGCGAGGGTGAGCGCAGAGGGGACGGATGGATAGGTAGTTCGGTAGTGTATTAGGGAGGGAGGGAGGGAGGGAGGCCTTCCCACTGTGCAGTAGAGGGAACATCTGGTACATTTGAGTGCGAGGCCGGAGTGCGGCCGCTGTCATTGAAGGGCATTGCGTCATAGCCATCTACACATGAGACCGTTTGGGCCTCCTTGACGAGATTGATGAACCTCTGGAGGTTGGAGAAGAGCCGGTCCGTCCGTCAAGACGGACCGGCTCTTCCCCCCCAACCTACAGCACGTCGTCAATCTCGCCTTGGCGTCGCCTCCTGAGACACACAAAGAAGGACACACAGTGTTTTGGTGGGGGTGGTGGATGTGCAAGATGGAACTGGTTGTGAAGGTTTTGTGGGGGATGGCCTGACCGAAGAGAGAGTGGTGCACCTCCCCCCCGGCTGCATCAACTCACTCAAAAGATCCACCTACACACACCCCACACCCACACCCACACCACACCCACACATCCACTATGTACCCATGACACAGGGTGGCTGGCTGATGGGTGGCTTACCAGTGTGAATGTTGCCGTCACTGCCAGGGGGAGGAGGTGCGTGGTGGGAGGGAGGGTAGCAGCAACTGACTCTATCTGCACGTGTGTCATCAATTTGTGTGTCATCATGACACACAAACCCGGATACGGAGCTAGGTGAGTTCCACACACCCATTCACGCATGCACGCACACATTGTGTGTATCACGCATCGTAACATCGCCACACATCGCGATTCTGGTGTGCTGCGGCTTTGTCTTGATTTCGTTGCGTCTGCAGACTGGATGTGGGTCTCATGGATGTGGACGAGCCCCACTCTGCTGATGTGGAGGTAGGTGACCCCTCTTTCCCCATGCAACACATATCACTTTGTCGCCCTTGGACTTGGCGTAGTTGGAGGCAGAACCGCTCGCACCATGCTGCGGCGGATGACACACACACCACACTTTAACCGACCTCTCAAAGGCAGGACCTCTGTTCAAGTAATGTGTCCATCACTTCATGATGAATCAATCGACGCCAAGACCGTCCATCAATCAATCCAGCCGCCACTCTAATCGCCATTAACCGACAGACACACACAGCACTCACTCATTGACGACACCACAAAACCCCCACCACCCACCCACCGATATATCTATCTGTCCAAGAAGCTCCATCGGTCACGTCTTACGGAGCCAGTCACGGGCTACTCACAAGACACGTATGTATTACTTCCTGTCTCGTCCCTCCTCCCTCCCTCCCTCCCTGCCGTCCTAGGTCCGACACGCCTTGAGTGCGCTGTGGACGTACTCTCGCTTGCGGGCTCCCAGGAGCACGTAGGAAACACCCGGCTGGTCGAGCAGCCACCGAATGCAATACTCCTGTGCGGCAACGCACATACACACATACAGAGAGACAGACAGACAGACATGAACGACGTACGCACGCACCTGCATTGGCTGTTCGGCGGGTATGTTGTGTTGGTAGCTGCTGGCCATGTCGCTGCGCGTCCTCTGACCCAGCACGAAGCGGACACGCTGGTCCAGCGTATCCACAAACCTCTGGTGCACCACACAACACACAGAGAGAGAGACACACACACACGGCGCTTTGTGTGGTGTGGTGTGTCGTGCCTGTTCTGCTGGCCCTGTGTGTGTTCACCTGGAGCATATCGAGGCATTTGCTGTCCTGCAGCAGTCCCAACTCTCCCACCCCTGAGTGGCCCACCGCCCTTCGTATGCTCGGCAGAATGTGGCGGGTCATCCGCTGCTCCCACTCAAACACGCTGCCCACCTCCCACACACCCTGCTCGAGCCCCTCCACCTCTCGCACCACCTCCCTGTACCTGATGGCCTTCTGCGGGTCGCCCTTGCCCAGCTCACCAAGGTATTTCTTGAGCTCCCGTAGGTTGTCTCGGTAAGCTTCGGCGGGATCAGGCTGATCCGCCAGCCGCCACGCATGGGTGCTGGTGAAGGCGTTGAGGGGCCGGTTGATGAGCACGCGGAGGTGGTTGTGATGAGCCCACTTGACGGCGTTGTCGAGGCCGGTTGTCTCCACCAAATTGCCGGGCAGCTGGATGGTGCTGAAGGAGTGGGAGGGGGGAGGAGCCTTCTTGAGTCGCTCGGCCGCTCTGATGGACGCCCGGGTCGCGCGCTCGATCAAGTCTGTGGTGGCAGGAAAGGGAGAGCGGCAGTGTGTGTTTCCCTCCCTCCGTCTCTCACTCTCCGTACACCACACCCCGCCACGGAGTGACTGACCTTGGTAGGGGAGGAATGTGGGGTCGCTCTCGTCGACACTGAACGAGTTGCTGGAAATGCCGTACGACTGAAGGCGGCCCCCCGACTGGACTTCCTCCTCCAGCGCTTCAAACACCTGTACAGAGAGTGGATAATGGCCACACAACACCTCGCTCCCCCTTTCCCTTCCCCCCGCTCACTCTCTGACTCACCTGCTCCACTCTCCTCAGCATCTCATTTCTCGCCCTGACGACGTCTGCCGGTTTGGCGCCGCTTTGCTGGTCTGTCTTCTCGCTCTGCAGGTAGTACCTAGACACACACAATCGGTGGAGACAGAGGGATGGGCTCATTGTAGACTACTGAGATCAGGCAGCTCAGCTCAGCTCAGCTAGGTACTCGGGGTTGTGCAGCAGGTAGACGTCCAGGTAGGTCGTCTGCAGCCGATCTAGAGACCGCTGCAGCTGGTCACGCATAAACCTGACGACAAACAGCAGACGGGGAGACCCGTTCACAGGCAGGCAGGCAGGCCGGCATTCTGTGTGAGTGTGAGTTGCGGTGTTTACTCTGGGTGGATGCAGTGCTTGAGGTGAGGGCCGAAGTCAACCGTCTCAGGAAATGTCAGTCCGCCGTCGTGGCGCTTGAGGTTCTGACCCTGTCGCACATACCATACACCACACAGACGAGCACACATAGCGTGAATGCACTCTGTCTGTCTGTCTGTCTGTCTGTCTGTCTGTCTGGCCTGGTCAACTCTGGTCTGTCCTGGTCTGTTTGGTGGCCGCATTGCTTGCCGCACCTGGATGTACCCGAATTTGGACACGAGCAAGACGTCTTCTCTCGTGACCTTGCCCTCTCCCTCCAGCTCCTTAAGCACACGACCCACCAGCTCCTCGGCCTCGCCGTCGCCATAATTCGCTGACCGACAAAGTGCAGACAAAGAAACATACAGACCCCATGAAATGAATGGCTGCTGCTGCCTGCCTGCCTGCCTCCCTGATCTCTCCCCCTCTCTGTGTGTGTGAATGGGTCTATGCACCTGAGTTGTCAATGAGTCGGATGCCGTTGAGGATGGCCTCCTTGAGCGCCAGGGCATGCTCCTCCACACGCCATGTGACGCGATAGCATCTGCAGATAGATAGATGACACGCACACAGAGACAGCCGGCCCGGCCCGGCCCGGCCTCTTTGCAATGAGTGCACAGCTGCCCCTCTGTCTGCGCACCCAAAGCCAATCGGCACGAAGCCGTCAGGAGATCTCCGCGTTGTCATGTCTGCACTCCCGGCCGTTGTTGCCATGGCCATGGCTGGACCCAAGGAAGCCGACAACCAGCGCATCCTCAATGAGCCGACCTCAGATCTCCTGCTGCTGCTGGTGGTTGTGGTGGTCGATAACGCGGGCCTTTGTGTCAGTGTGTGGAAGGTGGCAGCAGGAGCATAACGATTGCTGATGAGTCTGGCGGTCGACGATGATGTCAGGCCTGCTGTGGCTTGAAGCGTAGCCACCAGAATGGCGGACGGGCGTGTCATTCGAAGGGTCCGTCGCTCGCATCATTTGCGAGCTTAGCGGTCTGGGGCATCCCCCTTTGTTCGTTCGTCCGTTCGTTCATCGCACGATGGAAGGGCAACATCAATCAGCTGATTAATTGAGTGCGTGTGATTGATCAATCAATCAATGCTGTCGTCGAATGACTCTCAGTGGAAGATTGGCAAGGCTCTGGCGCATCCCACCGGTGAGTGAACGAACAGGGCGGGGAGGGTGGAAGGAAGCGCACCTTTGATGTGATGCACTCATTCATGCGTTCTTCCCGCTGCCGGTGCGATGCCTGCTTAACTGTCTGTCTTATGGTCCTGCCTACCTGTCTGCTTGACTCAGACAAGAAGGCCCGTCAGAAAGGTCAACTCAACGAAACACCACGAGTCGTGCATGACGTTGCCATGCACGGCGTACGTGTGTGTATGTCTGTGTGGGTGTGCGTCTTGCTTTGATTGACGGTTGGTTATTCTCAGCCTTGAAGCTGCTTCAGAAGTGGCTGCGTCGGCGGGCCGAGAGCGACCATTCCATCTCGCTCAGAGACGCCCTCCTCGTGTGGAAGGCCCTCTTCTACGGTCAGTCGGCACATATGCCACATGGAGATAGAGACGCGCCTGACTGCCTGGCCGCTTGCTTGGTTGCGTGTGTGCAGCGTTTTGGTTGAGCGACAAGCGTCCCGTGCAGACGCAGCTGGCGTCCCAGCTGTCGGCGCTGCAGCATGTGTTGGCCGCCGCACCGGAGGCCTGGCTGGCCTGGGTGGGCGCATTCTACCAGATCCTTCTCACCGAGTGGACCGAAATCGACAGATTCAGGTAGGCAGGCACACCGACGGAGGGACGCCGAAAGAGGGATTGATGCATTGATTGATGCATTGATTGATGTCTTGTGTGTTGTGTGTTGTGTGTTTCAAGGCTTGAGAAGTACCTGATGCTGGTGCGCATGTTTGTGTATGAGACCCTCCGATACCTGCAGAATCGAAAGTGGGACGCGCAGGTGCGATCCGTCAGACAGACAGACAGACAGGCAGGCAGACGCCCATCAGTGTCGCTTGGTTTGTGTGCGTGTGATGAATTGGCTGATTGATGGACACAGCTGGTGCGTCAGTTGAACGACGTCTACGTGCGGAGGGGCCCGTTCGCCTTTCTCAGTCTGCACACCAACGACGTCAGCCGCGAGACGGCCACACAAGAAGAGGGCGCGAAGGTCCCCAAGACGCCCACACGAGCGGGTACGATCGATGCACACCGCGCCACACCACACCCACACACGTGCAGGCCATCCAGGTTTCCATCTCTACAGGATAGGAAAAGTGTGTGTGTGTCCGTCTGTGGAATCAGGTTTTGGGTGTCTGTTGCAGCTGACCGACGTGCTGATGGACGAGTGGGATCGCTGCACTCAGGGACAGCACGAGAAAGACCCCGACAGCGGTGGTGCGGCGGAAGCGCTGGCCATCATGCTCCAGCCTTTTGTCAAGGCACGCTTTGACGCACGAGACGAGACACACCCCCTTCGTCCACTCTGTCTGTCTACAATACATCCACTCATGTGTTCAGGTGCTGTGTGTGAGCACACACGAGGGCGTCCTGGACCGCATATGTGTCAAGGTCATGGCTCGGCTGCCCGCGATGGCCCCGCAGCTCACCCAGCTGGGGCAGCAGATGTTCCAGAAGGCGGCCAACAAGTACGCACATCACGCACACCCCCTCAAGTGGCAACGGGTGTGAGTGTCGGTCTGGGTGTTGCAGGAACACAGGTGTGCTGCATCGGCAGTACCTGTACAAGGCCGTGGACGCGATCGAGCAAAGTGAGAACACACACAAACAAACACACACACACACACATGCATACGTCCATCCATCTGGCTTTCTCTGTCTGTCTGTCTGTCTGTCGATCTGTCCGCCTGCAGTTCTCCGTGATGCCGGCGAGTCGATCGACCTCCGCCTCCCCCCACCACACACACAGCAGAAACACACGCCACCCTCCCCCGCAACCAAAACCACAACACCGTCCCCCACTGTGCAAGTGCCCAACCTCTTGAAGAAGCTGCGCCTGCTCAAGGCCATGCAGGAGGGACACCACCACCACCACCAGCAACAACAACAACAGCAGCAGAATGGCGTGAAGCGGAAAAGCGTATCGACGGATGGCGTGCACCAAGCACCAGCACCAGCAGTGGCAGCAGCAGCAGCGGCAGCGGCAGCACCAGTGGATGATGAGTTACCGAATGGAGTCGTTGCCAAGAAGGCCAGGAAGGAGCGTGCGAGTGACAGCGACGAAGGAGACCGGCAGCACCAGCCATCCAAGAGCCGACTGAATGACGCCGACACCCGGCAGCATCAGCAGGAGCAAGAGCAGCAGGAGGTGGTGGGTGGCAAGAGGGTTCGCAAGGGCGCGCCGTTCAAGCAGACCGGGCAGCCGGGCACCCCCCCTCCCCCCACCAGCAGCCGCAGAGTCAAGTTTGATCTCACCCAGAACCAAAAGACATGTCTGTAACCAAACACACACACACACACACACAGAGGAAGGCCTGCGAGCCCACATGTGTCCTTCTGTCTGTCTGTCTGTCTGTGAATCGGTTCAGATTTCAACAACCGCATGCCCGTGACAACGATCGAAAGGCCCCCCGGCGGCGGCTCCCCGCCACATGCAGCCAACCACGCCACCGCGGTGGCTGATGGACCCGAACCCGCCCCAGCCGCCATTACCGTCCCTACCACCAGCAGCGGCTATAGCGTGTCTCGTGTGCATCGCACTGGGACGCCCCTCAAGTCCATTCTGAAAAAACGGGGAGGGGGCGGTGGGGCGGCGGCAGCCAGTGGGGGCAGGAAGGGCAAGCTCAGGCTCACGACGCACTAACAGGCGGGCTGGGTGTGTTGAGAAGTGCCGAGTGGGTGGATGGATGGATCGTCGATGGCCGGCTGTGCGTGTGAAGTGCAGTGGAGTGAGCGGTTGACTGCGGCAGGCAGACAGACAGACCGACAGATGACGAATAGTCGAATGGATGTTTCTCCTGAGTGAGTGACTGGTTCGTTCGTTGACGACATGAAACGAATGACACCGAGTGTCGTCGATTGTGGAGTCAACCCACCAGCCTAAGCCATATGTATCAGTCCTGCCCACTCTGGCTGGCTGTCTGTGTGGTGTTGCGGCCCGGACGCCTACCCTACCTACTGGAGCTCCAGCGCCGTCTGCAGAGCGACACAGGAGGGCCACTACCCCTGGTCCCACTCACCCCCACCCCACCCCACTGCATGAACTTGAATGCATCTTCTACGTCGACCGCAGAGCGGCCCCTCCCTTTGTGTTTTCCTCTCTCCGTCTCAGGACACACACACACGGCAGATCGACAGAGCGACAGAACAAGAAAGACCTTCATGACCACGCACTGGTTTGGTCATGTTTCGCTCGACAAGTCATTCAATTATCCAGGGCAACACATACTCGAAAAACCCCCATCCATCCATCCATCCAACGTTCATTTGTCAGGCCACCCAGAGAAAAAACTCTATCGTGCAGTGCTGCGCTGTGTTATGGTGTGCTGTGCTGCCATTAAGCCAGCCACTCAGACGGCTATCGAGTCATCACTTGTGAGCACCCCCAGCGCCCCCCGCAGCGTCGTTGGCGTTGTGGAACATGCGCCTGAGCATCTTCTCCTTCTCGTACCGGCCCTTACTTTGGACACGAAGCGTCTTCTTGACGAGCTTGTAGGCGCCACCACTGTAGTCATAGTGGTGTGTCACGTGCTCCACCCTGTAGCTTGAACCGTCCTCCTGCACCAAGATGTCGCCTGGGGTCGTCTACACACACACACAGAGAGAGAGAAATGGACCGATCCATCCATCCATCCATCCATGTGTACCAGAGGGTGCAGGCGATAGCGGCCGACGTATCTCATTTGCGGCGGGTTGTTGAGTATTTTCTCCAGCAAGTCGAAGGGCAGCATGTTGTACTCCCGCACCCTCTTGCCGCGTATCGACCGCTCGCTGAACCGCACATTCAGCAGCCCCTCCTTGCCGGGGTCCTTCTCTATCGGCACATTCAGATTGGGCGGCTTCAGCCGCTGCCGATAGTTGGAGAACGTCAGATCCTCCGCCCGGTCGTTGGGCGGCCACCGACTGCTGTCGTCCTCGCCGCCATCGTACTCATCGCTGTGGGCGGCAGAGAGGGGAGAGGAGGGCGGCCGCCGCCTCCTGACGCTGTGTGGTGAGCGGAAGGCAGCCAGCTGCCGCCGGTGTGACAGCAGAGAACGGCGCGGCTGGTGCAGGAAGGCACTGCTGACAGTGCTGAGCAGCCATGAGGCGAGCCACAGCAGGAGGGAACCGAGCGGCGAGGAAGGGGCGTCAGATCGATGAGGGGAGCGGCTTCGCCGTCCCATTGAGAAGCGGCCGCCTTTCCACCGCTCTGCAGCACCGCTCCACCGGACCGCGTGCACCCCTTCAGCTCAGTGTGGCAAAGATCCTTGAAGGAGAGAAGGTGGAGGCCTCTTCCTCCTTTCTCTGCAGCCGCGAACTTGGGGAAAAGCTCGCGATGCAGAGGGGCTAGGGCCTTCCATGAAACCGCTGCAGAAGTGGACGAGCGCCACGTACAACACCACATATCATCATCTGTCATCTCGTTGTGAAACACCTTAACTCATAGCGCATCTCTCGTCACAAGCCTCTCATGGCGCCTCCCCAGGCCGCCTTCTCCGTCAAGGAGATCTGCAGAAGACGTAAGGCGGACGGACGGAAGGGACGGATGACACACACAGACAGACAAAGGAAGATAAACACAGCCACACGCTGTGTGCTGGCCAGATTATCTTTCACTCATCAGTTCAACTGTCTGTCTGTCTGTGTGTGTCTACTCACTCTGTTGGCAACTGCGGTGATGTGATTCGACTCGCACTTTTTTTCCACAGGTGTATTGGACGAGATGGTGCGTCGTGTGCACGGGAGTGAGGGCTACATCGCAATGATAGTCGACGACCGGACGCTGCGGGTGCTGTCCTCTTCCTGCCGGGTCTATGACATACTCGAGGAGGGCGTCACAGGTGGGTGCGTGGCATCCACATTGGTGTGTGTGTGTGTGAGAGAGTGTTGGGGG